ACATAATTACAAATCAGCCCCTCTAGTTTAATTAATTACATTTGATCACAAAACTAATTCTTAATTAATTATTGACCAATATTAATTAAACAAATATGATTTCTCCTTTAATATATTATTCTTATAACATATTAATAAATCATATTATCCTCTCTCTCTTTATTCATTTCTCCAATCAAGTTGCTTTGGTGAAGGCAACCCAAAAGGACCATGCACCATCGGGTCAAGTACATACCAAAATAGTTATGGACTTAGACACTAATCCAACAGCTAGTCCATGGAATTCACACTTTGTACCTTACGAAGTCGTTAGTGGAGCGTGTGTGGTTAACCGGCACACTAACTAGGACTAGTAAGGATCACGAAGGGTGACTTAATGTTTGTCATAGATCAATGGAGCGTGTGTGGTTAACCGGCACATTGATTAGGTGATAATATTAAGGGTACCAAGTGAATTAGCATGGTTATTCACACCTTGTTTTGTGATCCTCGGCATCCCATTCACAAAACTTGAAGGGCACAATCGAGATTGAAACATGCCATTGAAAAGTTCAATGAATCTCAAAAGAATCTAGGAATTTCAAATCCAATTAAACCTAATAAATCATTTCGTTTTCATGGTGGAAATTGGTGAATCGTCATTCACCTACCTTTCAAATATATTATTACTTAGATTACGGCATCCCTCTTCTAAGTGTAATATATTGTGATTGGATCCTAGCCTTAATATTACATTTGGGTGTCTTATTAAGGATCCTATATATATCTAATCTAAACTTACTCTCTTTTCAGATGTCTTCCAACACTAATGCTTCAGGCTCTAACCCAACTGGTTCTTTCTCTCTCATGAATCTTTGTGGGAGGGTCATCTTTGATGGTTCCAACTTCATGGATTGGATTAGGAACATCAGGATGGTTACTCGTTATGAGGACAAGGAATATGTCCTCGATAAGGAGTTAAAAGAACTTGATGAGTCTACTGCTACTCCTGAGGAGATCGCTGAATTCAGGACTCATGAGAGAGATGCTAATAAAGTGGCATGTTTATTAATATATTATGAGTTATAATATATTAATATGAAGTTACGTTATTTAATTGATTTTAGTCTTAAATTAATTATGAATTAATTTAGAGATTAAAAGGAAGTCTAATTAGATTATGGGCTATTTGTTTTATATATAGTGTGGGCTAATACTCATTTGTTAATGGGCTAGGCTTATGTGGAAGTCCATGAATGATCCATGGAGCTTTTAACCCATGGATCCTTGGAAAAGGAAAAGACATGGGTTATTAGGGTTTCACCCTAACCATGCATACTATATAAGCAAGCTTATGGAGCATGAAATGGAGCCTAAGAGAAAACTAGTGACCTAGTGTGTGTGTGCATGTGTGTGGCCGATTTTATACAAGGTGTATACTCTCTCAAAGTTTTCCAAGAGTTTGTGGTGTTTGTGATTCCATTTGAGGCATTCACACTATTGGTACTTGGCCCTCAAACTCCTTAGAACCAAACTCACCAAAAGGTATGTAATCTCTTCTAACTCTTTTATGTTGAAATGTTCCCCATGCCATGTTCGATAGGTTATAAACCTTGGAAAATTATTATTTTGCATGTATTTAGACAAACATAGATCCAAGGTTTATTAGGGTTGCATGCACACTTAGGAAGTGTTAGATTGCTCAAAACCCAACAGTTGGAACCACCGGGAAGCCACCAAGCTAGCTGAGCTCCCCCGACGTTGTTTACTGCCGACGAACAAATGATTCAAGGTCGATGTCGGGGCCCCTGTGCCTCTATCGTCTCCGGTAATGGCGCACCCTTTCCCCCTCTCTCGTTCTTCTACCATTTCCTTCATGACCATCACCATCTCCACCCCGACGACTATCAAACTGTGATGATACCCTTTTCGGTCACCGCAAACCACCATAATGTGGTGGTGCTGTGTGTGTTATCCGGTGTGTATGTGTTTCAATCGCCATATCAAGTGTGAGGGTGAGTTGTCAGCTAGAGGAACGCCAGAAGACCACCATGGCAGCCAACCACGGTGGCTACCGCCATGCTACCGTAATCTTCCGCCACTAGCCACCGTGAAAGGTGGTTGTGTGTGTGCTTTGGTCGTTTATGTTTATTTATGTAGTGAGACGTTGTCATGTATGGGTGTTTATTTGGCCGGTAAAGCTACCACCACCACCGTGAGGTGGTCGCTGCCACCACATGCCACCACCGGCCACCACTAGGGTGGTTGTGTGTGTGTGTGTTTATTTTGGAAATTTCATTATATGATGTAATCGGTAAAGGAATAATGAAAAGAAACTCATAACCACCACCGTGAGGTGGTGGTTACCGCCTCCTGCGCCACTAACTGTCGTGTTGGGTGGCGCTGTGCTTTTGCTTGTGTGTAGTTTCTTTTTGGATGCTTGGACAAAATGGACTAGAAACCCTAACCACCACCATGAGGTGGTGGCCGCCACCGTGAGTCGCCGTTGACCACCACTACCCGAGGTGGTAGTGGGTGGTGCCGACTAGCAAAACCCTAATGATCCTAGTGAAAGCCTAATGGGCCTAGTGAACCCTAATTGATTAAAAGACCTAGCTATTGGGCCTATTGGGCTATGACTGGGCTGTAATTAGGGTTTAGAAAACCCTAACTTTGGATATATGGGCCTTGGACTTATCGGGACCCACATCTGGGCTATTGGAATGGAATTGTGAATTACACCAAATTACACAATATGACTTATCTAGTAGAGTGATGGACTTAATGGATTAAGTCCTTAATGAGTTAAGTGAGAAACACTTAACCCTAATTGTTATTTTATGTGAAACCTTAATTTCACTTAGGCATTATGTTGGCCTTTTTATTGGGCTTTGGTGTTTGGGCAAATAATGGACCATCCAAGAATAATCATATGGACTAGAATATGTTGATGGGCTTTAGGGTAAGGCCCATATGAGAGTTTGGGATCGATTTGGAAAATTAGGCCATAGATGGGCCATAGTTTGGGCCTTTATGATTATGAGATATTGGGCCATTAGAAATGCCAAATGTTTGGACTAGAATAAATGGTTGGGACTTTGAATAAGTTCATGTAAAGGTTTGGGCCTAATTTGGAAAATTGGGCCATATGTTGGGCTTTGATTCCTAGTTTGACTTTTGGGCCTTTGGATTGGGCCTTAGGTTTGAATCAAGCCAAGATGGGGTACTGTAGTCTATTACTCTAAGAACTTGTGGTTATGTGTTGGGACCCAATTATTAATTGGGTGCTGTTTTGATATTGACAGTTTGGGAATCTGTCATCCAGTAGTTGGAGTTGTGTGTACGGGACTTCAACAGTGTGAGGTGAGTTGCCTTCAAGTAGAAATGGGTCTAAGGCCATAATGTCGGCCCATTAGTAGGAGTTGTTTGATAGATGATTGTCTTTGTGATAATTATCTAGGTTTTCTACTAACTGATATGTTTTATGTGTTAGCATGGTACGATGTTATGTGATAGTAGGTAGTAAGGGGAATAATCCCCGTGTCATGGTCGTAAGGACCGAAGGGTAGGTCGGGCACCCCAGAATTATCTAGTAGTATGTTTATGTTATATTATTATGTGGTAGTGGTAGGGGTGAAATAGTCCCTAGTAGTCGGTTGAGATAAACTGACGGGTAAGTCAAGCACCCCAGAATGGCTTGAGATGGGTAAGTCAAGCACCCTAGAATGGTTTGACCTGGGTAAGTCAAGCACCCCATAATGGCTTGACATGGGTGGGTTAGGCACCCTAGAATCGACTGGTAGTATGCTATTATATGGTGTGTGGTATGATAGGGGAACTCACTAAGCTTTGTGCTTACGGTTTTCAATTTTGGTTTCAGTTACCTCGTTTTCAAAGGAAAGGAGCCGGCTCGATTGCATCACATCACACTATATTTCCGCACATGATATCTTGGAGATTACACTCTGATATTGTTTTATGATAACATGTTTTGATTATTTCAACTTTGGTTTTTGGCATGAGATGTTATTATGGATGTTTTATTACTTATGATTTTATAATAACTTATTTAAAAATGAAATTTTAAGCCTTGAATTTTGGGATGTTACAATCTCACCTCTAAGTATATACAATTATGAATTCCTTGGTTTGTTGATATTTAGTATGTTGTTATGTTGTATTGATTTATTAGATCTGTGTTATGGTATTTTAGTATGCTATTATGATCTGTTAGATCGGTATCCTGGTAAATAGGATGTTATTATGATGTTATGATCTGTCTAATCGGTTTGTTTGTATATAGAATGTTATGTGATTATATGATATATGTTCACATGTTTGATTAGTGGTTGAGGCTTATCTGCTTTGCGTGAGAGCCAATAGACCTGAGCATTCCAACCCGATGGTTGTGGGCCATGAATATTCCATCCCGATGATGATTAGACTCGTAGTATGTGGGCATTCCAACCCGATCACTACTAGAAAAACAGCCTTTTACGACGCTCATTGCGCATCGTAAAAGGCTCAGACGACGCGCAAATGCGTGTCAAGGAAGGCCCTGTCATAAAGAGAGACGACGCGCTTTTGTGCGTCGTCTATAGACGACGTGCATTTACGACGCTCATTTACGACGCGCAATTACGACGCGCGTTTACGACACGTAATGCGTATCAAGGAAGGCCCTGTCATAAAGGAAGACGACATGCATTCGCGTGTTGTAACCTTACGACGCGCGTGTTAATGACACACAATGCGTATCAAGAAAGCCCCTGTCAAGAAAGGCCATGTCATAAATGAAGATGACACACATTTTTGCGTATCGTAAATTTAAATGGTAAAAAAAATAAATTTATATATTTATTAATTTTTAAATTAAATTTGCATTTAATTTCTCATAATAGAAATAAAATACCATATACAAAAAATACAATCCATTGCATAATATAAAATAAAATTTCATACTCAAAAAAATAAAATAAATTGCACAAATTGTAATGTCATACAAAGAATCATTCAAATGTTAAACAAAAATAATACATTGCTAACATGGGTTATACATTCCTATAAACTAACAAATAATCATACAACTCTGTTTCTTACTGGAAAGGAATGTCAAACATGATTACAAGTCTCCCTTAATCTTGATTACTCACCTGCTTAAGTAGAATGTTGTTGTTGAGAAGGTTACCTAGCAACAGAGAAAAACACAACACCTCTCCCACAATCACAACATCATTTACAGAGAAAGGGTTGTCAATTACTTTCATTAAGACTTTCATTCAATCACAAAAATATTAAATAAAAGGGTGAAACAGTAACTTACTTTTGATAAGTTGATCTCCCTTAGAGCAAACACAGCTAAAGCATTGAACAAGACCCTATTTCAAAATTTTATAAATACACAAATCATGATACCTGATATTGGAATACACACTTTGAGACATGGATAAATACGAGTAGATTAACCTGGATACATAGGAAGTAAAGATGGAAGGTGCCAGAACTCTGGGGGCATTGGGTTGGTTCCTTCCCACTCGCACACACCAAGCCAAAACTCCACTTAATCCAGCACCAAAATAAGCCTGCATTTAGAAAGCTGCAGGGGTGAGTCACAATTCAAGAATCTGTTAAAATTTGAGGAATAACATGTTCAACCAAAACAATATTAGAAAACAGGGTTAAATGTGAAACATAGCAATGTAATAATTATCAAGGTGCTGGAATACTTGAAATCTAGATTATTTGCTTGTTTGTACATCTAGATGATTTTATCACGAACATAAGTCATGTTATCAACTTTCTGAAGAAGTATACCAAGACATTTGTAGGAGAAGAATACTCTCAATAAGATAATTTAATTAAAAAAATGTAATGATAATGATAATGAGTTCATACCTGTGAAGTAGTGCAGAATGCTCATCATCATATGTATAAAGCTCATACTGCTTTGCAAAAGCATTTCCAAGAGAAATGACCCAATCAATGTCTTGAACAACATCCAAAGTTTCTGCAAGAAACTGCAAACAAAAAAAGAAATAAATAATAATGACATGAAAAGTAAGACTATCAGTCTATAACCTCAACAATAAAACAAAACAAATTATTATTAAAATCAAATAATGATAATACAGATTGTTACAAATTATGGGACAGCAGGGTCTTCTATGATGACATATAAAGCAGCCCTATTACAATATTACCCTTGTGGGACAGCAGGGTCTTCTTCTATGATGACAAATTGTGGGACAGCAGTACATGACTAAATGCATGTAGATTGATAAGGTTGTTTCTTTTTTACTTAATAAAATCAAAATGACTTGACGTGCTAAGTGAGAGGTTGGTCACTTTATGTATTAAGACCCTCCCTTTACAATATTACCCTTGTTTATTTTTTTATTTTATTCAACTTTTGACAATCTCATGAAAAAGGCACTATCAACCTCGTTTTTTTTCAATGTTCACAGAATTTTAAGCAAAATGTTGGCATCTATTTAGCTGTTGTTATTTGTTTTAGAATTTGGAGAGAGAGAGAGAGAGAGAGAGAGAGAGAATCTTCATGCCTTTATGGTGTATCAAAGGAGGGCGCGAAAAGACAACCCAGTTACCATCCTAAGCAATTAGTGGTCCTAGACCATGTGAAAAACAGAGCTCATATAAACATTGAGATGTAAGTTAATGTGACTGAAAATCCCTTGCACATTTAAACTGCTATGCTGTAATAGAAGGGGAATGCTATAATACACAAATTACAAATAGATGAAAGTATGTTGATATTTCTGGCATTTAGCCCAAATTTATATGCTTTCAAGTATGAAGAGATCACTTACTTCTTTATGCCTAGGTACATAATTTGAAAAGGCAATCAATGAAAAGAAAAAAAATGATTACTCCATGTTTGCAGCCAAAATCCTGACATAAAGACCAGTTTCGCGACCCAAACGCTCCCTTTAGTAAACATCCTTGTCTTTTTATTTAGATTCCTTATCTGTTTATTTTGTTTCTTTATCCTTTTATTCAGTTTGACTTATCCTTCTATCATCAGGATTTTTCCTCCTGTCATTTAATTTGCCTTTTATGGAAGATTATTTTAGTTTAATTTAGGTTTCTTTTTAGTAATTAGGAAGCTGATATATTGTTTGAATTGACTGAATTAAGTTTCCTGTCTAGGTTGGCGATACTGTGTCAATATTTTATTAGTCTCATCAACAGAGTGATTCAGAAAAATGTAAATGCATTACTTTTTTTTTGGAATGGCTAAAAATTTTACAAGCATACCAGCAAGGCTCTAGAAGAAAAAAAAAGGAAGCAAATTACATAAGATCCAACTGTAAATGCATTACTAATTATAAAAGGAATTTCAAATGTAGTAGAATGTATTACCCTGAAATGCAGTCTCATCAACAGGGTGATTAAAAGTGATGTGAATTATTTATTCCTAAAACTGAACAAAAAATTCAGTTAAGTATAAATGATTGTATGAAGGTGATTACATTTGTAAAGAAACACAAAAAATAGCATTTTGATTATTATTAGCCATGAATCTAAATTCAATTCTAACCCAAGGCCACTTTCCTTATACAAGATTAAAAGAGACAGATTTGACTGGTAGTGAAAGTGCATGGGATTTTCATGTTGAGGTCGAGCAGGACTACCTCCAACTTCATAATGACCCTCCATGGGATTGGCAGGAATTGGAATCCAATTCCACATGGCAACTACAGATTATTACAGAGTTAATCTAATAAACATTGAGATGTAAGTTAATGTGACTGTATCATCCCTACCAACTATGCACGATTCAATTAACCCTAACCCTAAATAGAAACTTAAGATAGTGTACAGAAAAACACACACACACACACAAATACGAATTATTGAGTTAATTTCTTACCTTACACCTTCTGAATCAGAGCAAGAGCTCAATATAGTTTGGTCACTATGTAGCCATGCAACTGTCCTCATAGATCCGGGGCTAGACTTCTCAACTTCCCGTGGGAGTGCATCCAGTCGATTTAAATCTAATATGCGAAGTATCTTCTCAAAACCACCCGTCAGTAGAAGATGTGTATCCTATATATTAAACAGAATTTGTTACTTTTTATATTATTTATAAAAAAAATCACGTTTTTAGGTAAAAATATGAAATTACCTCAGAGAAGGAACATGCCCTAACAATATGTTTGTGGTCAAACAAGTGCAATTCATCCCCAGTTAATGCATCCCATATTTTCCTGCAAAAAGAAAGATCAATTATATTAAAAGCATGTTACAATTTCAATTTATCAATAACAAGTACAGAAAAAAAAAATCTTTTTGAAGTATGCATTCTAGTGCAATAATTATTGTTTCATGATCTTTTATACCATATATAGTTGAGAAAAGAAAATGTTTGACTATATACACAGTGAAATCAGCAGATGCTGAAGCAGCACGAAAGGCATTAGTGTCCAAACAACAACTCCATCTTATTACAAAGAGGTTCCTACAGAAAGGAGAAGATCACATTAACTTTTTTTCAGAAAATAATACAAACATGAACAAAAAACAGAAAATGACTACAAGTAGAAAGTTGAAAATGAACCTTGCTAGTAACATAAGACAGATTTCCAGCCAGGCAAACAATGATGGAGGATGATGTACTATGGAAAGTATTTCTTTAATAGCCTTATACATTACCACTGGAAGCAACCTGGAAAAAGTAATCAATAAGAACAATCAATAAGTTTTTCAGCAAACAATTTTTAATTATCTAGTTGCAATGAAAAGAGAAAAGCAGAACCTTTGGAAAAGCATGTTCATATCTTCAACAAAAGGAACAACAGGGAAATGAACTAAAGCAGCATGCTATCAACCAAAATAGAAGGCACCAGCAAACCAGATAGTGAAATAGCTTATTAGATAATCTCAAAAATGTGTATAGCAAACAAACCTGGTATAATATATGTGAATCCCCACCCTGATAAGATGTAACAGCAGCTTCATGTGGTAGTTGACTTTGATTTACAGCAGATGTTACAGTATTTTGTTGAGATGACACAACATCTTTGTTACAGAAATTGGGGTTTCCTTCAATTTTCCTGACCCTGTCCTTCAGAAAAAAAATCTATCATTTTCTCAGAACCAAAATAAAAAATAATAATAATAAATAAAAGTTTACCTTGAGACTGTTATGAATTCAATCCAAGGCCATGCTACCAAAATCCTTAAGCATCCCGGTGATGAATTTCTACATTAAAAATTATAAGTTTCTATCAAAAGTATCCAAACTTTCACATAATGATAGCTTTAAATATTCACCAAATGTCTTAAATACCCTTTGATAATGATGCAAAAAAAAAGGCTTATAATTCTCAGACTTGGAATTTATAGGAAATGTACCTCATAAACAGTCATTTCTTTGCAAAAAGAGGCTACTGATCTTTTGGAATTGTCATCAGCTACCAACTCTTCATTACTAATGACAATTTTACCCCTATCAGAAATGCTAGTGTATATAAGTGGTCGTTAGGGTCATTGCTGGAAGATTCTGAAATTTTCCCTACACCAGTAAAAAGAGGGTTAAGTGATTAGAAATAAATCTTTATACTATTAAAAAATAACATGTGAACAAACCTACACAAGTAAATTCTTCTTTCTGTTTAAAAAAAGTTATCAAATTTATTCAATTATGTTATCAATCAATCACCTTCATAACATGAGAGCATTTTTTGATACCCTTCCTGTGTCTACTTTGCTAATTTCATTTAACACTGCATCAATTGATGCCTCCATCTCAAGGATAGCAGTTGATTGAATAATTGGCCCAATACTCATGGCAGGATCATTACCTTGGTCAGATCTTCAATCATAGATGTTGCTTTGGTGTACTCTCCCAATTCTGTTAAGGTTACTGCTACCCCCTGCAAAACCACTTAGATAGTATTTGGAAGTTGTCTCATGTGAAGAAACAAATTATAAGATGAAATCAGGGTCAATGAGCATTTGTTGTCTTGCTTATGGAAGTAGATTTTGGCAATTTATATGTGATTACCTAACATACTCATGACCCCAGGAACCAATATCACCTTCAGATACCAACAAGCGATACTTTAAACTCTCCTGAAATCTGCATGATGTGTGAAAATATTATTGGAAAACAAAAGTGCACCAAGGATTACATAGCAGAAACTCTTGAGACAATGGAAATCACATCATATGTCATAAACCAAACTAAATGCAAGCACTTCTCTTACCCGGTCAAAGCTAAAATAGAAAGTATATCAGCAAGTAATTTCTGCAACAACAGTAGAAAGTATTCTATTATCAGCAAGTAATTTCTGCATGGAAATGGTGAAGCAGGATGCTAAAGAATGAAATAAATGCATTTAAGTCTAAATCTGGCATTGTGTCATAAAATAATTTTAGAGTTCCATAATGTGGGCGTAAAATCTTCAGTGGTTTTGGGACTGAAGTCATAGAGCTGGTTGATGTCTGAATTTCTTTCCTACAACCAAATAATCAATATTGTTAGTCTAAGTGACAATTTGCAAAAAAAAAAAAAAACACAAGACCTCTTATATCAATAACTAAAGCATGCATAAAACCACTTCAAGGAACAAGAAAATAAGGAATTGCAAAAACATGCCCACATCTACACTCAAGAATCCCTCTTCAATCAACATTTATTTAACATAACAGATTCATTACAAACAATGACTCTCAACAGTAAATATGAATACCACAACACACCAATTATTATATGGAACAATCTAGATAAAAATAATGAAGGTGTCCCTTCATGTAACATTTATTGATCCAACATCCCAAACCATTGAACATAAATAAAAGAGTTTTCTCCAACTCCATTCCCAGAACTGTGTGTTGCAACGTGATGCACTTCAACAAACTCACACATCTTATAAAAGATTATGACCCATAATTACAAACCTTCCAAGGTTTTTAAATATCTAAAAGGTTAAATCATTTCTCAGCATTAACTTTAGTTAAGTACTTGAAACTTTAGAGTTCTAGATAATTCCTTAATGATGAAAGCTTTCCTCAATGTAGATTATCCTTCACAGTACCATGTGTATATGCTCACATTCTTCAAGTCAACTCTGCAAATTATCCTTTCAAACCGATCATAACAATATTTTAGTTTGCTCTTGCTAAGAACGTGGTAGGCTTTTAGGACTATGTTAGACCAAGTTCTCATTGGGCTTCAACGTAATTATATTAATTTCATAATCCTAACTTACACCTGCTTAGCTGAGAATAACATCAAGAATTTTAACACACACAGAATAGTTACAATCAGGACAATTCAGAACAGATCTCAACAAAACTGAACCAACAATGCTTGCAAATAAACAATCCATGAAGTGCGCCCTTTTAATTAAAGAAGAAAAAACATAAAAAAAAACATCATCGATAAAAAATATTAGTACCTTATATTTTCTCACGGATCTCAATGAGTGGTGCCCTCATACGCAAAACTGCGGCATCGACATCTACAAGTTTGGTGCTAAGATTCATGAAGTCAGCATAATCTCGGTTAATTCACTCTACTAGTTCATGTTTAAGGGATGAAAGATGAGACAGCAGCTCCGATCTTGGGTTTTCAAAGGGGACACAGCTTCATAGATCGGAGATGTAGGATTCCGAGTCGAAATCAGGGCTGAGAATTGAGGAAAGAGAAAATACACAGAAAGTGTGTTTGTGTGTGTGAGAGAATTCAAGCCTACGTCTTCTGATCAACACATGGAAGACGATGTTATTGAGAGGGTAGATGAGACAGCAGCTCCAATCTTAGGGTTTCAAAGGGGACACAGGTTAATAGATCGGAGATGTAGGATTCCGAGTCGAAATCAGGGCTGAGAATTGAGGAAAGAGAATGTACATAGAAAGTGTGTTTGTGTGTGTGAGAGAATTCAAGCCCTGCGTCTTTTGATCAACACAGGGAAGACGATGTTATTGAGAGGGAGGCTTGTTGTGCGAGACAGATCACAAAGAAGATCTGATGGTCGTTAAACCAGACCTAGGGCTTGTAAACTTGAGCATCTGTGTCGGTCTTCGTCGAGGTAAGGTTAGCCCAAGATCGCCGGCTAAAAGAGATGAGTCGAGATCGTTGGTAGATGAGGTGAGCCAAGGTAGCGAACGTTGCAGAACACTCCCATCTTGAAAAGAACCCTATAATGATCCCTTCGATTTTTTGATAAAATAAATAGTCTCGAGGCGCGTTCAAGAATTATAAAGCGACATACTTACACGACACGCCTATTACGATGGGTGCCCTCCGTGTTTTTATTTTTATTTTTTTCTAACACAAATTGTAGGTCACGCAAAAATGCGCGCCCTAAATCCTTCAAATTTTTCAATAGATGACATTATTTTTACGTCACGTGCTTTTACGAATCGTAAATTCGTGCGCGTCATAAATTGCGTTTCATTAAAGGCCTTTTTTCTAGTAGTGGATGGTTGTGGGCCGAGGGTATTCCATCCCGATGATGACTGGACCCGTTATATATATATATATATAGGCATTCCAACCTGGGGTATTCCATCGGGATGGATGACTGGACCCGGAGGTTGATTGGGCTTGGGGTATTCCAACTCAATGGTTGATTAGACCTGACATATTTGTCATTATATGAGACTGGGTTGCTTCGTGCATCAGTCAACAGGCTTGGGGTATTCCATCTCGATGGATGATTGGACCCATAGTATACTGTTTGTGATTATATGTGTATTGTTATGTGTATGAGTATTTTGGGGGAACTCACTATGCTTTGTGCTTATGGTTTCAGTTTATTATTTCAGGTGCTTCAGATGTTTCGGCAAGGCGAAGGCATGACCGTACACATCCACGCGTTTTGGAATTTTGGTTTTTGGGATACTCTGATATGAAACTATTGTCTCAGATCGCGATGTTCGGTTCTGTAACAACCCGAAATTTCCGTATCATTTATTGTAACTCTTTCGTAGTACAATTCGCGCAACCAATCGTCGTTTCCAATTTCAATTTCCGATCTTCCGTTTAATTAAGTCATTATCTGGTATACATTTAAAATGACTTAATGGGTGTCTTAATACATTTAGAAATCATTTTAACACCCAACTTTAGTGATCGGAATATTTCTAGAAATTACCGTATCGGGTTACGGTAACTCAATCGGGTACGACCAAAAACCTCGTCTAACGTCGGTATCGGGTAGAATTCCACCGTGTCCAAAACTTAAACACTATATAAACGTGTTTAAAACTCCATTTGAAGCCTTTGGTCAATTTACCATTAAACAATACCAACCTCTCTCGTCATCCAAGTTTAAGGGATCAAAACTCAAAATTAAGGCTTCAAATCCCTAAGGTACTTCTCCTAGCTTGTATTGTAACCTTCTTAGCCTTCAAATTCGAGTTCAAAGCATGATTTAGGACTACATTCATGAGTTTACGGCCATGGAACCTTCATGGGCCGTAAACTCATATATCAAGGGTTTTTAAGCCCTAAAACCCTTCCTTAGCATTGTTGGACATTAGATATGACTTAATGGCTTAATGGAAAGGACTTATAACATGTAAAACATTGATTTAGAGGGACAAAAGTGAGTTTACGGCCAAGACACATTCTTGGGCCGTAAACTCATATTCAAAGGGTTTTTGAGCCAATTAACCCTTCCAAATCATAGTTGGGACTTAGATATGACCTTTGGGCTTGCTAATCTAGACTTGGAACACTTTAAACTTGATTTTTGGGTAATAAAAGTGAGTTTACGGCCAAGACATACTCTTGGGCCGTAAACTCCTCTTAAATGGTGATTTAGTGCCTTAAAACATGTCAAAATGCTTTCAAACTCAACCAATGGCCTTGTGGTAAATCCTAGATTCATCTAAAAATGATTTGGAGACTTTAAACACAACATATGCCCTACATATGTGAGTTTACGGCCAAAGAACTCCTCCTAGGCCGTAAACTCCTAAAATTTTGTAAAATGGTAACCTAAATTCATAACAATGCTTAGAAAATTAGTTAGAATCACATGTGATTGTCCTATATAGTTCAAATTAACCATTCTTAGCCATGGGTGAGTTTACGGCCGTAAACTCTATGAGTGTGGCCGTAAACTCATGTTTTAAATGATGTAAATTCATTCCAAGTGTTCCAAGGCATTTTAGATAATCCATTCTAGCAATCCCTATGTCCATTTGAGCCCTTAAACCATCAAAACCACACCCACATGAGTTTACGGCCGTAAACTCATGTATGTGTGTGTTCAATAGTTGTAAACTCTTTAAAATGTTTACTCTTGGGGAGTAAACTCAAGTCCCAAGTCCCTAGTACCATTACATGTCCGAAGATGTCACCCGGGTCACTCCAAACGCTCATTTTGAGGTATTTAACCTCATT